TAGGCAAAGAAAAGTGAAAAATATAAAATGGAGATTTTCTGCAAATATGCGACCTTTCACCCTGTGGACCAAGCAATTAAAACATACCTTCCTACAGACTAGAAAAGTCGTCTTTCAGCAAGAAACCCATTTCTACAGTGCATCGATCGAAATGTCTGTGATGCCTATGGAGAATATGTACCAAAAGGCAAACATTTGTGATGTACTCGACAAAATGTGATTGCAGAATAATCAAATTTGCGTTTGTTTGTGCTTCTGTCGCATTGTTTGCGGGTCATCGGCTCGCGTGTCACACTCAGCCTCATCGACGGGCCACTTCCGGTGCTGTCGGCGAGACTGGCGTCGAGCATTTGGCCTTGAACCGTATCTATCGGCAGAGGCATGGGGCTCGCAGTTGATGTACCCGTCGAGGGAGGCCTGGCGACCCTGTGCCGGTTGAGTATGCAAATCTCTTTTCGCCCTCCCCTTCTCGGCCAGACAGCCCAGTTGCTCCCCAGAGAGACTTGTCTTCTCCTTCTTCCGGCTGTTTCAACCAGCCTCTCTTCTCGTCCACTATTTTCTAGATTATATCACGACCCTGCTTGACTCTATCGGCTTCCATCATTCCAGACGGTATTAATCCTCTTTCTAAATCACCGCCTATCTTTCTTCCTCTTATGTGATATATGCCTCACTCATTTGAGTCCCAGTCAGTATCCGACTCTTTGTTCAATCCCTCGACTTCTTCACTTCCCATACCAATCCCTCTTGATAGCCAGGTCTATGAATTTCAGCCCACTTTGGCGACTCGATAGCATCTTTTTTTCCCTTTTCCATAGTTACCCTCTCATAATTATCTATTCTTCTTTTAAGGATTGCTGAATTGTTAATATTTCACACTCTTTACCCAACACATACCCCTTATGCTACGGACAACTAAGAGAATCCATCTGCCTAAATGACGCGTATCGTGAATTGGTTATCACTTTAAGAAGAAAAAAGGAATTAACTGTAGATAAAATTGCAATTCTCATTTATATACTGGAGCATACTCAAATCCTTGCTTTACATATCATACTTACATCTGTTATAGCGTATTTGTACCGTCCAAACAGGTATAATGCAACCATAACAGAAGTCGGTTCAAGTTATTTTTTGTGAACAGTCTTCCTATTTTGTTTACAGCCAACTCTTCTCCATAACGATTATTCTACATTCCTCATTTTAAGGCATTGCATGCACTTCATATCATGTTTGCATTTTTTAAGAATATTTCCCAATCTACACATTTACACTCCCTATATGATGCTAGTTCTGTGTAGGATCTAAGGGACTTAGTGTAAAAGTATAAATATGGAATCAATTTGCCGCATACAACTTAGTATCCGAGACCCGGAAACTTGCCCTATTACATACTGGCACCCTTGACTGTGTGAAGGATGGTTTCGTCCCGGTATCGAGCTCTTTGTTAATGATAATGAGACCTTGGCGATTTGGGGAACCAAGGCAAAAATTCACCCTTTGGATAAATGGATCTGCGAAATTCTACGGTACAAACAAGGCTCTCCTCAATTCATGGAGATGACCGCCTAAAGACTTTAGAGCTATTTTGATTACTTTAGAACAAAAAAGATTTTCGGTTTTATTATAATGTTTATAAGGCTATAAGTAGCCCCTCGAATGGTAAGACAGAAAAATGACACCGTTTTTTTCTCTGAGCAGTTTCCAGACTGTCAATAATTCTATAATAAGCACTTTGTCGCTGTTGGCTGTCTAGCGTTGTTTAAGACAGTGGTTTCCTAACTTTTTCTAGTCGCGGCGCCCTATTTAAATTGCAATTTGTCCATGGCGCCCTACCCCAAGTATGACTATTCCTAATTAAAAGATAAAAATAAATAAAATTCGTGTATCTTATTCATTATTTTTTCACTTTATTAACATTAAATTAATATTAAATAATGAATGTGATGGATGAGTATGCAAATCCCTGCACATTTTCTCAAATCGTGGAATTAAACTGGACACGGCCACCCTCGCTTCCTTTTCCCCGTTGATTCTTGCTCTATACTTGCTTTTTATTACAGCCACCCCAGACAACCCAGCTTCGCACAAATGCGACGCCGAAATGGAATTAGAATCCGCTGAGCCTTATCACTTAGAAGAGGATAGTTAAAGGCATACTTTATTTATCTGCACTGTTAAGTTTATAACTGTTCAAAAATGGGTACATTATCAAAGATACAAGAGCCCAAGATCACAAAATTATGTATTAAAGTCAACAAATAAGAAGTAATATGGCACAACTAAATGACAATATGAACTCATTTACTAATTTATGGCACTGTTTATTTACATACGAAGCGCAGAGTTCAACTTCACTAGACTCAAATCATAGGTCGACTGACTGAATCGAGCCGGCAACGCAAGAGCTTCCACAATATTTCAAATCTGTCGCTAAGTTTCTATGCACCTCGACGTGTCCAGTTCGATGATATGGCGCGATCAAGAAGACGCAGCATTTTCTCTCACGTTTTTGTTTAGTTAGGCCAAATGTCTGGGTTCAATTAAGAATGAAGCTTTTACAATATTTCGTGGCGCACAGTTTGGGAGTCACTTGTTTAAGGAATGATGGTTGAGCTTTTCCCAAAATGCTATGCGTGGGCCTTACGATGCCAGTTTAAGTTCACTTAACCTTGCCTCCTAAAAAGTTGACCCCTCTCGGCCGGATTCGTGCATTAGAATCTCTCAAGGAATCGAGCAAAATTCTTGCTTTTATCACAGAATTTCGCTTCTTCACTTATCCGAAAAGTGCGTTTTCGCCTAGGCCTCCGGCATCGCCTGGGGCTAATTATTAATCTCTAGAGGGGATGCACTTAAACCTATTCATTGCATACAATTATATTATGGCCAATTAAATATAGGAAAAGCTTGACATTCTATGTTTGAGATGTACGTGTAATGCCATTAGTAGTTATTATGAAAAATTACGATTTCCGCAATTTCACTCATAAAAGAGATAGTTTCAATATTGTGAACCTTTATGAAGATTTTTTGCGAACTTGGAGGTAAGGTCAGAGAGGCCTAGTATTTCGGCTTTAAAGGTACATTTATTTTTAATGATTATTCCTGAACTTCATATCCCATACCGGTTGACAAATAAACAAAATAAAAGTCATTATTTTATGGATTATGGTTAGCTATGTGGAGCAGATTCCAGGAAGATAGAAGTGCTTATTGGCATAACTGAGAGCACCCAGAAATTAAACTTATTATTCGTATTTAAGTAGAGGTTCGAGGCTAGCAGTAAATCAGTAATATGAGAAGTATTCGCCCAATTTCGATTAAGGTGATGAAGGACTGTCAGTAGAGTTTTCCCACAATGATGTGAGTAAAGCTGATGTTTCCATTGTTTCACATTTATTTGCTCTCACAAAAGTTGTTATCATCCCAGATGGAATGGAGTACAGTCTCGACCTAGCATTGGTCTTATCAATATCCCCAGCGGGAGTCGAACCGTAAAAGTGCAGCGTGTAATCTCGACGCGTTAAGCATGACGCCACAATGCCACGAGTGCCCTTTGGTCACAGAGAAAATGTCAAATTCAAAGAAGGCCAGAACTTTGCCGATATCACATTCTTTGGTGAGATTGTCGATGAAGAAAAGGTATTTTTGCTATAATACTAGAATACGTTACCCAATTTTCGAATGTAAAAAGAGTTTCGAGACTATCAGAAAATAAGTTGTGAGATGGGAACAGCTTTTGGGAAAGCAAGGCTATGTGAAATTGAATGAAAACGTCAGATCTATTCACAACATTGTGGGAAAATTCTACAACCAGTCCTTCATCATCTCAGACGAAATAGGGTGAATGCATCACTTACATTCTTTGGTGAGATTGTCGATAAATCAAACGTATTTTTGCCATAGCAATAAAATATGTTACCCAATTATCGAATGTAAATAGAGAGTCGAGACTACCAGAAAATCAGTTGTGAGATGTGAAGAGCTTTTGGGAAAGCAAGGCTATGTGAAATTGAATGAAAACGTCAGATCTACTCACATCATTGTGGGAAAATTCTACAACCTGTCCTTCCTCATCTTAGAGGAAATAGGGTAAATGCATCACTTACATTCTTTGGTGAGATTGTCGATGAATCAAACGTATTTTTGCCATAGCAATAGAATACGCTAACCAATTTTCGAATGTAAATAGAGAATCGAGACTACCAGAAAATCAGCTGTGAGATGTGAAGAGCTTTTGGGAAAGCAAGGCTATGTGAAATTGAATGGAAACGTCAGATCTACTCAC